TCTCATCTATGGATATCCCCTCAGCAGCAATTTCATAGCAAATGAGCTGATACGCTTCCACCTGATCCATGATGGGTTTTGAATCCACCATTTTGAAGTCATGGAATTTTGCAACTACATACTTCTGGCAGCCAGCGTCTTCACCTCTATACTTCTTGTCCAGCGATTTCCAGAGCTCTTTAGCCGTTGGAATCTCACAATAGACTTGGTACAATGGGTAAATGATACGACCCAAAATGTAGCCTTTGCAGATGAAATCCGAATGCACCCAACTTTCAACACTTGAGAAGACGTGCATATCGTCAATCCTGTGAGGGATAATGGGCTTATCTTCCTCGATGAATTTGTCCAACTTGCACAAACTGAGGAAGAACAGCATCTTCTTCTGCCACGTTTTGAAGCCTTTGCCATCAAATTTGTCTGGCATCATATTCTGAGAAATGACACCAGGAATAGCCGGAGGAGTCGCAACTGCAACCGGAACACTTGTGGATCCTTGAATTGGACCCATTTGATAAAGACCAGCACCGAACAGGCTACGGCGTGTGGTCTCATCAGGAACAGCACCCACTGGATGGGTTGCATCGGTTGATACAGCGTTCGTCACGCCGGTTGCAACAGGTGCTGTCGCATTGAGTGGAGTCTGAGTGGCGAGATCAATGGGGGTGTTATCATCGTTCATCATTTTTCTGTAAAGAAAATATGAAAACGGATCAGTACTCCATTCAACATATAACATATTATTTTAAATAAAATAATAGTTTAGAATCGATTTTCATTTTTGGTGTTTGAACCAAATCATATCGATACAAGTCTGGAAAAACGTTTTGCAAACTCGCTATAAGCGTTCGCAGAAACCGTTTAGTGAAGACTTAGAATATTTCACAAATTAACTTAAGAAAGCATCTGTGAAAACGATTCATATATAAACGTTTTGAAAGAAAGAAGTATCTAAAACGTTTCGCGGATGATGCTATAAGCAAACCGCAAATCGTTTTGAGATAAGTAAGAAACGTTTCGCGGAAATGATAAAAACCAAATCGCAAACAGCGTTTCGAAGACCGTTTCGCGGAAGTGCTATAGAGCAAATCNAACGTTTTGAAAGAAAGAAGTATCTAAAACGTTTCGCGGATGATGCTATAAGCAAACCGCAAATCGTTTTGAGATAAGTAAGAAACGTTTCGCGGAAATGATAAAAACCAAATCGCAAACAGCGTTTCGAAGACCGTTTCGCGGAAGTGCTATAGAGCAAATCGCAAACACGTATAGTATACAGATAATAAACGTTAAACGTTTCGCGGAAGTGCTATAGAGCAAATCGCAAACACGATTCCAGAACCCGTTTCTATACATCGCTTTTTTCAACCCGATTAAGGCTTTAGACGGAAAGCGATTAAGAGTTAAGATTGTAGAAGCCGGAAAACCGGATCGACATAGACGATATAAGAAAGACGGAGTTAAGGAAATAAACGATTATATGAGACACGGAGGCGAGATAAATCTCTTTCCTTAACTCTTAATATTCGCTCCGTAGTGAGACGAAACTGTACGAATGTTGAGTCCCAGGATACAACCATGGCAGACAAATCACGCTTCACTCGTGAAACGACCTAACGAACTAAATTCTATGAACACTCTCTGAAAACTTACTCTGAGAGATTGCTGGATTTTTTCTGTGTTAAAAAACGATTCAGGAATGAAGAAGAGAAGCGAGTTTATTTAAAGAGAAAGACGAGAGCCACTTCCCGCAACAACTGCTGCACGTGGGCGAGAATCTCGCGGAGATCGAGGGAAGTTGAGTAGCGAAATCTTTTTCCGCAAGACTCTCTCTTTTCTTGTTTAAATATCTGAGAGGATAAACTGCGTGACGTTTTTTTATTTGTTAGACAAATTACTTGTTGTTTTAAATAAAATTGCATGCTGTTTTTTGAAGTTTAAATGGCAAGGTGTTGAGCTTCATTTGGTCCAAAAAGATAACTTCTAAGGCCCTCCAATAAAGCCCATGCCCAAGCCCACGTCGAACCGGCCGAACGGCAGTGGCGACGCGCGCGTGGAAGTCCTTCTCTCTCTCCAAGCTGTTTACTAAGCTTAGATGTGTGAGCATATATATATTGCCCATTTCTTCTCCTTCTCCCCGATGTGGGATATAATTGAGATGTCAAGTTAACATTCCAACTTGTATGGGCTTTGTGTAGCCCATTCATTTCTTTTCACATTTGATGTAAAGCCAATGGGCTTTTTATTTTGATCCAACATGGATCACCAACAACACCACTCTCCATTTATCTTCCACCAACTTAAAATCCCCTTTATGCAATAATATGCACAAGCAGAGGTTGACTGCGTCCAGGTTCATAGATATCACCAGGTTGAATTACTCGAGTCTATATCCAACCTTGATGATTTTTATACTTAATTTCTCTGCTCCATGCCTGTTTCATTTAAAAGTAGACTTGTGAAATTGTTTTCAGACTTACTCTGCTTCCTTGTAATAGCCTGTTTTAAAAGATATCTTGAATTAAGAATTTATAAATAAATAAATTAAAGAATTAGTTGAGTTTATATCCTAAAATTACGACCAAAGCTCAACCATCCTTCCTCTGCAAGTATTCTCAGTTTGGCTTGGAAGTTGACTGCAATGGAATATTCTTAGATTCACCATCTTATTATAATCAAAAGAGATGAAATTTTGGTAAACATATAAAAATACACTCTTCATTGACTCAATCACCACCATAACATCCGTTCACACCTGCAATATAAACTATAATGTACCACACCTTCCTTTACAAAGAAACTGATTGACTAGAAGAAGAAGAAAAATGCATGCTGCAGTCAAAAGTAAAAGAAAAAATCATTGATGTACTGAGGAAATCAAATGAGAAAATACTTATTGATGAGAGATAACAAAGCCATCGAAGAGTTCCAGTCCAAAATATTACTTCTATTGCTCTATATGACCTCGAATGGACATAGGAGAACATGTAATGTGTCTCGAAACAGTTGCAACCAATTCACATCTGCTGTAGCTTTTGACCAATATGTTCAGAGGTTTCATATCACAGTTTATAAGCCCAAGGCTACGTAAAAGTGCTTCAAGTCATTGCACATGATTGACTGTACAAAACATCCAAAAGAGATTAGGAATCGGCTAGTTATGTACATACGCTAAATGGTATTGATGAAGCGGACTAACATGCAATCTTGGCATTATGTATTCAACTTCACCACCTGATTCTCTGTTGAATTTGTAGAATTCGTATAGTTTGGCCTTAAGATGTTCACATACACATACCGAATGCTCCTGCAAAATACAGCCCAGTAAACCATTAATTATTTCAAACCAATGGCAAAGAAATATGCTAATCCAGAGATTAGTGTAGCTTATAAGACATAGATTAGTGTAGCTTATAAGATCAACAATAAAGCAAAACATTATGAAAAGGAATACACCAATGTAAGCATTTTTCTTTGTTCATGGTAATCAAATCTAGAGAAAGCTTTAGTGACTATAAAGAAATGAGTGGGAAACTTAACCATTGCTGGCATAAAATTCTTTTTTTTTTCTGTGGTAAACTTCCTTTTTTTTTGCTGGCATATTCCAAAAAGAATGAAACTGCACAACAGAGACGTGATGACTTACCCTTCTTTTCCTCTTCGAATTTGGTTCTGCACAAATATCAAACAAACAATAAGAAAACAGCACTCAGCTAAAATTTATGAAACTATGACGATGTAGAATAATAATTAACTGTGAACTCAAGCACAAACAATATAGATAGCTCAATTCTATAACTGGAAGAGTTTAAATATAGCTCAGAACTTACCTTTTTCAAAGTATTTTGAATATAAGTGATTTAACGGAGATACAAACAGGTTGCTCTGTTCCAGATTTCTTCATAAAAGGGTTTGTTTATCTTTCTTCACTTCTGCCTTTCGGAGTGAGCACTCCTATTAGTTCATGGACTGTAACTATTTTCTCCTTTCTTCTTCACATGCTCCCTGCAGTAAAAAAAGCAAAAGCCTTCAAGTTTAACCATACTAATTTTCTAGAGCAAAGATAGATTGCTTGTTCAGTCATAAGAACAAACGAAAGCGGATTCTTGTTGGCATTCAAATTCAACATTAAATGGGACAAAAGAAGATTGGAAGGGCTCCAATAAATCATTATGCTCTTCTGAAGCAATGAGTGGGAAGGTTTGACCAGTCCTCAAATAGTATGGATACTGGGATGCTTTTATATTCAAGAAAGAAATGTTAGATGCTTGGAAATTGACTAACTACTCTCCATCAGACTGGGCTACCCATAGCTAGCTAATACAGAAATAAAAGAAATAGCAGACACATATTTTTCGACGTTTCAAGAGCTTCAGGGACATTATATGAATCTATACCGTTACTTCCTCAAACAACCACAATCCAGGAAAAATGTTCAGCCCAAACAGAAAATATTACCAAGCATCGATGTAATTATTCTCATAACGAAAACGAACCATAATGAGTTTTCAACAAACTTACATCCAGTTCTTCTGAATAATCCTTGGTCTCTTCTTAGGTCTCCTTGGAAATCTTCTCCCAACCATGGTTGAGAAATCCTTTTAAAATTCTGAATTCTACAATGAAACCGAGAAGTTTATCATCGGAAATCTTTGGCGGAGATTCGCCTCCGACTACTCATCACAGGCAGCCCGTCTCATCCCCATATTCTAAGGCCTAGCTGCTGTTGCCACGAATCAAGAAATGGAGACTGGTCTGTTGGTTGCGTGATCTGGAAACGAATAAATCAAAAATTAGTGGTGGCAGATAACAAAAATAAGAAATCAGAAAGAAGAATAACAAATTAGTTCAGCCGTGAATATGGCAGTAGTGAAAGGAGTGGAGAAAGTTTTATATGGTCAGGCTGGGAAATTGAAGAGTTGATTGATACACACTATTATTGAGAACTTTATTAATGAATTTAGTTGACGTTAGCAGAGTTTCCCGATGGTAAAAATTTATTATTTTCTTGTTGAGATGAGGAAGAGGAATAGTAGTTAGGTGGTTAAAGCGGTAGAAGGGAACGCGAATAGATTTCTTGGGCTAGGCTTTGACCGTAACAAATTTAAGCGAAAACTATAACTGATCTGTTTCAAATGAACGATTGTAATTATAAGTGGTGACATGTCCGATATCTTGTTTCTCATTGGTCTGAATTTTCATGCTTACGTGGACATTCTCCCTGCTCTAGTTTTAAAACTTTTAATATAGTTAGATAACTGCATAGTGTTTGTGGATTCTAAAACTCATGCTAGATATTTGATAGTGTTTGTAATAGATTAGAAAAAATGAACTTTGTGAATAACGATATCCTCAAAATACAACGATGTAATTAAATTCAATTTGACGAAAATAGATTTTGCATATATTGATGTTTAAAAAAGTATGTTGATTATTGAAACGGGTGATACTAACATTCTCTACACTTGCAAGATATCGTATATATATATATATGCTATTAGGGACTACATTGAAAGTACTGGCGGTTGATGGGACAATGGATTTGAAAGTACAGACAAAGAAAAAACTTGGGTCGATGCATGTGATGGCGAAAAAGGGAGTTTCACTGTTGACAAGAGTAATATGAGAGGGTACTAGTTGGTGAACGTGCAAACAGAGTTGGTCAGAGGTGGGCGTTCGGGTACCGTTCGGGTTCGTTGTGGGGTTTTCAGATTTTCGAGTAATTCAGTATTGAGATCTAATAACCGTTCGGGTATTTTTACATATCGGGTAGGGTTTGGATATTTTTAGTTCGGGTTTAATTATTTCGGGTTGGGTTCCGATATTTAGATTTGAAAAAATCAAGTTTTTCATTGTTCAAGTTTCATGCATTTACAATTTTACTATTAACTTAACTGTTTTTTTAATGTTTAATAAATAAGACGACTATAAGTTTGAAAATAAATTATTGAAAATAGAAAATCATTAATCTGGTTGTTATTTTCAAAATTTGGGTGCAACTTTTGTTAAAACATGAAACAAGAAGCTGAACATGCAATTTAAATGAGTAGTAAAATTTTTTTTATAACTATATGTATATTATCTGGATCTTAAGCCATATACATCATTAATATAAATATTTTGAATAAAATGAGACAAATATACTAGGAAGAAAATATGTATATAGGTACATATGTTCGGTTATCTTTGGATATCCATTCAGGTTCGGGTATTACCCATTCTGGTTCGGATATCCAATCTCTCATAACTCAATACCCGTTCGGATCTTTTGCTACTTCGATTCGGATATTTCAGATCGGGTTTGGCTATGAATTTGAATATCGGATAAAGTGTCCACCCCTAGAACCGGTCTTTGCCACAAACTGACCAAGCATATGCCTGGGCCGTGATGTTAATATTATATCTATTTTAAGGGCCAATTATTTGATCAAAGTTCACTCAATTTTACTAGTGTTTGTCAATTTTGACCTATAAAGAATTGTGGGCTAGACTCTTTAACATATGATTTCTAATATTTTTCCCAAAATAAGTAATTGAAGGGCCAAAAATATATTATTTGAGCTCATAAAGTTCAGGTACGCCCTGAGTGCAAGTGGAGTTACCAAAGGGATTGCGCAAACTGGAGAAGAAACTTATCGAGGAACTTGCTAATATGAGCAAGAACAAGACTGCTAGTAGCAGCAGTAGATGAGATTAGGAAAAAAGAAAGAGAGTTTTGACATTTGGAAATTTGCTGGTTATATACACATTCATTGTTATACTTTGTATTAGCTTCTTGTGATGATTGTAATGGCTCCTGAAAAGAGGAACAAATTGGAAGAAGCAAATGGAGGAAGATGATAATTGTTCTTTGTGGTGAAGGGAAAATGGAAGTACTTTTGGAGTTCTTTTTCTTGGTTCCAAGTTGCATACGAACTTTAGTTAAAATAGTATCTACATTGCTTGGATCATTACTGAACTATTTTTTAAAAAGGGTGGAAAAAAGAAAGTGGGGTGAGAGAGGCTCAAACTCTCGACCTCAGGATCACTCAGTAGCTATGAGACCTACGTGCTAGCTAACTGCGCCACCACCCCTGTTTGATTATAAACAGGGGTACAAGATTAGGAACGTTGTTTGAAGTATAACTTCTGTTGAACCATATCAACAGATCTTTGGTCTCATGTTACTTAAAGACATTGCTTTTTAATCATGTTCCAAGATTTCTTCAGTATAAATATTCTTTAACTGTAAACATCCCTTATATATTAATTGAGAATCATTTAAAAAGTTGTAACTTTAAGTTTGTATTAATTAAAAATAACCCCAATCCTATGTGGCATACCTCTTTGTCTTCTAAATTTTAGTTAACACAATTTCAAAGCACCTTACATATTTTATAGTTTAAACATATATTTAATAGAAAGATGTTGGTCACATATCTTATTAATCATAAACATTTATTATTCCTTCTTTCCTTAAATAAAAACTATGGAATTACCTAATATGGCTAAAATATATATGACAATTAAAAAATATTTGTTATTAAAAGATTTGTTATTAAAATAATTTATATATGACAATTAAAAAATATTTGTTATTAATTTTTTTTAAAAATATTTGTTATTAAAATAATTTTCACAATTAAATTATTTATATAATAAAAATTAAATTTGCTCGTATATATTGTATTTTGAATTTTTAAAACGGGTATAAATTACTAAATTGTTAAATATCTCAAATAAACTATTTGTGATCAATGGTTTAAATTTTTATTATAATAAGATACAAATAATTATAAAATACATGAGTAAGACGTATTATTTAATATATTTATATTCATATATATATATAATTTAAATTAAATTACAGACCATATAAAAATTCATACTTATATTTTGATATTTTCATTGAAAAAATTGAGAATTTAATATTTTAATTTTAAAATTAGTATTCAATTTTTAATAGTTCAAATTTTTGTTATAAAAATAAATTGGTAATCATAAAATATTATAATGAGAAAATTTACTAAACATCCATATTAAAAATATATTATAGATATTGTTAATTTCATTTAAATATCATTATATCTAATATACGATGGATAAAATTGATTGTTTTGATTTATTTACCGTAAAAATATTGTTAATAAATAAGAGTTCATTTGATTTAAATGCACACACCAAATTATTTATATACGTAATAGTGATTGAGTTCTCAGTTATTCAGTCTATATATTTCTTATTTATTATTTCATAATATGTAGAAAATATAAAATAAATAATAGTACACAAATATAATTTGTAGATAAAATGTTTATCCTGCGCAGATATTATATAAAATGTTAGGAAAAGAAAATGAAACACAATTTTATTTTTATGATTTCACCATATACAACAAAAATGAATAATATATAAAGTAAGATTCACTCTACTTACAACTTATCCCCCACCATTTATAAATGATTATATAAAAAATCTCAAATTCTATTTAATTTACAGACCGACCAACATATCAATTTCTCTTTCTCATAACTAAATGTTTATATGTTTATTTTTTAAACTCACTCTGCGCAAGACGCGGATCTTATCCTAGTAATACTAAGAAACTTGAAACACCATATGTCACCAAAAGGTTGATGAGAGTGAAGACAAAAACCTTATGCAAGTTGTGATTTTTGAAGAGATCTCATTAAAGTATTCAACTCTAGTGATTCCCAAGTTTTCACAGCTATTGTGTTATGTGAAAAGTTTACTGAATTAAACCAAAAGATCTGACACTTGTTTTTCACTTCCAAGTTCTTACAAAGTAGTACCACCTCCATCTGACATAAGAGATGCAGCAGCCGCAGCAGCAGTCGACACAACACCCATGGATATAAACGGTTTCGACATGTGCACAAGCCCGAAAGAAACAAGGTAGATGGGTTAAAATCATAGAGACAGAGAGTATCATAAGTGTAATAAGAAATAGTAACAATCTTACGGGGCGAGAAATTCACAAAAGGTTGAAACAGCAGCAGCAACTTCACTGTAATTCTCAGGTGTAGCTGGAGGCGTTACATCAACAATCTGCATCCCTGGAGTTACAGGAACAGCCTGATCTATGGCATAAATCTTAGGCATCTTACTGACGGAAGACACAGACACACTTATGTGTGCAGTCCTTTGGAAATGAAAAGCGAATCCAACTTTGAGAAGCTCGTGGTCTAGTTTGTAACCGAGGGATTAGAACATACGGAGAGCGTTTTTGCTGACTCTACTTTCAATCATGGCTCTTACCATACAGAGAGTTGATCAGCTCTTGCACCTCTTATCACACCTCCAACATGTTTAACACTCCTGTGATCAAGATTCTTTCTTGATTAGAAGATGATAAAGCAAAAACATACAAGATGGTGGTAGGGGCAGACCCACTTAGAGGGAAGTGGGGTCACTTGACACCACATAAACAAAATAAACATTTGTTTTGTATAGAAAAACACTAAAGAAACGGTAGCTGAGTAGGTTGAATATGATATTTGAACCCACATAACCCGAATTTGACCTTTACCAGTGACACCTTTAATTGTTTTTGACCCCGTACAAATTTACTCTTGGGACCGCCATGTATAGGTACCATGTAGGTTCTGATTGATCAAGATCACATAAAATTATTTAGTCAGATACATAGTTAAGATTAGACTAGTTTAGTAAAGAAAAAGAGAAACTATAAAAAGAAACTGTCTAGATAATAGAAAATGTTTGTGTTATAAAAAAATATAAAACTGTCTCTCAAAAAAATATTTTCGTCTTTATATAAGATTATAATAGTTTAGAAACCATATAAAATTTGGGAAACAAGTAAATTTGCAAGTAAGTATATATAAAACTTTTCATAATAGGCATCACTACAATATCCATAACAATTTTCTTTTTTTTTTTTAGTATTTTAGTGATTTTTTTTTACTTGTTCAAGTATATGAATTCGTAATATTTATTTTCTAAAATAAAATGTCTACAAAAATGAATGGCCAATCTCGTTGTTGATCTATTCAACTGCCTATATTTAGAGTGTATTGCATAAATAAAGAGGGTGATAGAAAAAGAACAAAAAACATCTATTACAAAAAAAAGTAAACAAAACAATAGATTTTCTAGAATCTAATCATGAGGTCTGGTACTTTGTTCATGGTTTCTTGTATATGCATATCACTTGTTTTGGGTCATGTTCAAGGTATGTTGTGGTTTAAGATATTAGTTATTACTTAACCAAGAACGTTGTTTTGTGATTGAAAAAAATAAATGTGGTTTAAAAGTCAATCCTGGCTCTTTGAATTTATAGGATTATTTTCTTACATTGATTGAATCAAAAGCTACAACATCATTTATATTTAATCTTACTACAACATATCCAATTACGATTACACTAGTTTTGAATAAATATATTTCTTGAAGTTATTTCCTTTAGCTCTTCCTTTAATATTCTTTTTTTTTTTTGTATTATTCTAGTTCATTTGATATTCAATTTCATTCCCTATTTTATATGCAAGCAAATCATTTTAGGTGAATATTTTAACAGCTTAGTTGAATAACACATTTTATGATACAAAGTGTTTCTTCGTATCTATTTTTGACTTGGTCAACTATATGAATATGGAATATCCATAATTAATGAAAACATTTTGACACAATTAAAATCGCCTATATTCAGACTGTATGACAGAGATTTACTGCAAAGGAGATGATAAGAAAAAAAACACTTATCTTACAAAAGCTAAGCAACCATTAAGTTTCTTTTAATGGTGGACATATTAACCCGAACCAAACTGAATTGAATAATAAAAAAAAGGATCAAAACTGAACTGGAGTTAAGAATATCTTAATGGTTTCATCTTTTAAGAACCAAAGAAATTGGAAACAAACTAAGAAGAACAATATCTCGTATAATCGGAAAAACAAAAATACCAAAAAATATACACAAAAATATTCGAATACATCCAAAAATAACCATTAATACCCAAAACATCCAAAAACAAATACCCATGGTTACCTAATTCGATCGTAACCAAACCCGAACCAAACTGAAACATTTTGAAAACAAATGATTTTAATTTTTGAAAGTAAGAAAGACGAAAACCAAACAGACGAACCGAATGCCGATACCTAACTTTCTCCAAGTAAAAACAAACTTCTTAATTTATATTGATTTATGAGGTGTGGTATTGTGCTTATGATTTCTAGTACAGTTTATTATGAGTAACACAATTGTTTATCTAAAATACCATTTTACGGATGCTATCAATTTCTAGATGTGCAAGCTAAGGTAAAGCCAGTGTGTTTTGGCGTCGAGTGGCACGGTGGAACTTGCAGCAATCCTAATAAATGCATTCAATTGTCAGACATAAAAAACACGATAAACAATAGGTTTGGAGTAAAACCTTTTCAATGCAATTGTACGAACCATGTCTCTGAATTTAAGGCAAGGAAAGGAGAAAGGCTGCAGCGTTGTTATTGTAAATATCATTGCAAAATGATATAAAGAAAAAAAATTGTGCAAATAACATTATTAATTATTTTATTTTTTTGTAATTGTTTTTATGAAGGTTTGTAACCGGTTCATTGCTAATAATGTATTTTATAATCCTACTATCATACTATATATCAATTGAAAAGTCATATAAATAACTCTGATGATGTGTAGTTGCTATAAGAACTTTCATTAAAATTGTCTTAACTTGGTTAGGTAATGCTTTTCAATTTTTGTTTAGTTTACTCTCTTTTAAAAAGTAACTCTAGAATCACATAATATACATTGCCAATCAGCTCACATAATATTATACATACATAATAATAAATATTAAGCAAATTTATGGTTATTGTCAAACAAACAAAATTAGAAGCTAAATAGGTCAACGAAACCCATGGTGTCTCACAATGTCGGATAATTTACCAAAGCCAGAGAACTATGAAATTACATGTACATCTACGATGAATACATGATAAATATAAGGGGTTCAAGTGAATCTTATAGAAAACATTACCGTTCGCCCTAGAATCCTCTCAGGCCTGCTTCCCTAGGCACGCCGTTTGGATGGCTCTCCTCCGTTCCAGCTCCGCCGCTCATCCCTCCTCCTTTTGAAGCAGCTCTCCTCCTCCATGGCTTCGATGGTGACTTCTCCTCCCTCACGTTTCAGGCCGCCTCCAGATCCGCCGCCGCGTAAGTCTCCCCCGCTTGAGGCTCTCACTCCGCCGCCGCGTAAGCCCCCACTAATTACTTTTAAAATATAATTATTTTATTTAAAAATAAAATTAATAAAATTACTGTTGTAGTTGGTTATTTGGTTAAAGTAAAAATAGGAGAAGAAGAAAAAACAGAACCCTTCGTCTCTGACATCGAAGAGGCTAAAGAGAAATCACAGCTGTCTGATGACTTCCGTGAAATCCCCAGAACATGTGAATCGGCGGGAGACAGTGTCGATGTGGCCTAACCCAGGCTGTTAATCGGAGAAAATAAAATATCTTATTTTATAGATTTTGAGTCCTAAATCATATGACATAATATAGATCTGCTAAAACTAGGTTGAAATCCACAAGATCAACTAAAGAAAAGATGGAATCACAAGGAAAAAAAGAGAAGAAATGGTTGTGGGTTCGCAGAACTCTGAGGTTTAAGTTGAGGATATTAGTCTTTCCATTTCGTTCGAAACCGAATATATTGGGAACTTTCCATTTCTGTCGATCCTTCCTTTTCTTCTGCGGAAATCTTCTATTTATCTTGAAACTTGCCTTTTGCCTTCTATCTGCGAGTAAACCGTTAAAACGTTATCGTATCTTTGGGTTTGATTTCGTTAATGTCGCGAGATGGGTTTTTATCGTGTTTTAGGACCTTTCGGGCCGTTTTACGATAAAAACCGTTTTACGAATTTATACGAGACCGTTTCTTAATCCGAAGCCGTTTTTTACGATTTTCTCGACGTTCTTTACTAAAAACGCGTTTTTATGATCTTAACAAGAAATCTCGGATAAATCGTATAGTTTAGGCAATGTTCGGTGTCTTGCTTAACCGTTACTGTTTTATACGATTTCTTCGAGTTCTTTTCGGGAAAGCGGAGTTTTACGGTTTTTATCGTAGAATTCAAAACGATAAGTCGGATCGAGACGAAACGAGTGACATTTCGGCAGTGGTTCAGAATGTGACCGTATCGAAGGACGTAAGGTTTGAATCGGGGCTGCGGGAGATCCGGGAGATCTCTAGTTCGCCTGCTGGCGAACTAAGCCGAGCTGGCTTAGTTCGCCAGCAGGCGAACTAGTTGGAGAGTGCCTAGTTCGCCTTCTGGCAAACTAAGCCAGCTTGGCTTAGTTCGCCAGCAGGCGAACTAGTTGGGAGCCTCTAGTTCGCCTGCTGGCGAACTAGTTGGGGAGGCTCTAGTTCGCCTGCTGGCGAACTAAGCCAGCCCTGGCTTAGTTCGCCAGCAGGCGAACTAGTCGTGACTAGTTCGCGTTTTGCGGCTTTTTTTGGTTTTTCGCAGTTTTGTAAAACGATTTCTCGAGTTTTATAAAACGATCTTTGAGTTTTATAAAACGGCTTCTCGAGTTTTATAAAACGATCTTTGAGTTTTATAAAACGGCTTCTCGAGTTTTATAAAACGAATTTTGAGTTTTATAAAACAATCTTTGAGTTTTATAAAACGGCTTCTCGAGTTTTATAAAACGATCTTCGAGTTTTATAAAACGATCTTTGAGTTTTATAAAACGGCTTCTCGAGTTTTATAAAACGATCTCCGAGTTTTATAAAACGATTCTCGAATTTTATAAAACGGCTTCTCGAGTTTTATAAAACGGCGTCTCGAGTTTTATAAAACGATCTTCGAGTTTTATAAAACGGTTTTCAAGTTTTATAAAACGGCTTCTCGAGTTTTATAAAACAATCTTTGAGTTTTATAAAACGATCTTCGAGTTTTATAAAACGATCTTTGAGTTTTATAAAACGGCTTTTCGAGTTTAATAAAACGATCTGCGAGTTTTACAAAACGGCTTCTCGTTTTATGAAACAACTTCTTGGGTTTTATAAAACTATTCCTTTTATATTTTTGCGGGGAATTTTGGCTATTGATTCCGTCGTACCGATTTTGACCCCAACAAGA